TATATATATATATAATGTGTATCACACCCAGGTCTAAAGTTATGGGCAAAAAACCTGTCCTGGTAGCGATGGTAAAGAATACAGCAGTATTTTCTAACTGTTCTAGCGAGTATGTTATGTATTGTCTCAGCTGCCCTGTGGGCTCTTATATATTGGACAGACCATTAGGACCCTTTGTAGCTGGTTTGAGGAGCACCACAGACTCATTGAGCAGAGTAGCCTAGATCACAGTGTCTTGCACCACTTTGCACATAAACACAAATAGCTACTGAGGGCCTAAAAGTCTGTATCATTGAATCCATTCTTCCACAATAAAAAGAAAAACCAGGAACAGCCGAGCAGTAGAGCCAAGAGTAATTCCTTCCCCAAGTCTGTCTCCGTTACTGTGGATGCTGCACATTAAGTAATTTGTGTGCCATTTGCTATTAAAAGGCCTGTGCCCTTCTTCTCTCTTGTGCAGGTGTCTTCTTGCCCCTGTTTCAATAGGCATCATAGCTGCAAAGGAGGAAAAACTTGTTGCTGTACAGATTGAATCCTGTAACGCTGGAGTAGGCAAACTTCACCCCTCCAGCTGTGGCCTCCGGAAGTCATGCCTGTGTTCTGCCCTAGTCTTGCAGTGCCTAATGGGATTTGTAGTTGCATCACTGCTGGAGAGCCAAAGTTAGTCTACCCCTGCTATAAAGGATATGAGACCATGCTGTAAACTCTACTGATTTTTTTCTGTATCTGTATGGCCATAGTTACTATGCAAGAGTGACATAGCAATCCAGAGAATAACTATAAAACAGGAGCAACTATTGTGAATTGTCCAATAGCGAACATAAATCATTTGCGTGTTTGGTTTATTCATATGTAAAATATATAAAGCAAACATGATAAAGAATGTATCCCATTTACATATATGTATACTGAATACTATCACTTAACTGGAAAATGTTTTAATTGTGGCGCTTACAGCAAGCTGTGTCTTCCTTTAATTGCCTAATTTAGTCTAATTCTGCAGCAAAAATGTTGTGGCATTTACCTTTAATTCTTGATTAATGTAAATCACCAACATACCAAGCTGGAAACATTTCCATTATAGACCTCTCTCTCATCACAGCATGTCCTTGCTATCATTATGTGGTTGGCTATGGTCTTTGTGTTCCCTCCTATCCACTGAGCATGTGCAGCATCATGGAGTAGAGAATATATTATAAAACCGTAATACAGCTTCACACCTATACAAAAGAAGAAAAAAAGAAAACATGCCTTTTGGCATATTTTAGGCTGTTAAAAGTTAACATTTATTTTAAAATATTTTTATATTTGTGTTAAAAAAACAACAACTATTTAAGACAGTTTTGATTCTGAAGAAGAGACACCCTCGAGGCCTGTGACACTATAGATTGTTTTGTATTGTTGCTATAAAGTTTTTAATGGGAAATCGCAATTGAAAAAAAAAAAAAAGTTCTATAGAATCTTGGGAATTAATATGTGGAGAGTACAGCTGTTCCTGGGCCGATGAGGTCTGGGGGCCCAAGCATGACTGCTCTGTCCCCTTATTTGTGCTCACACTACATTCCATCCAGAATAAAGCACTTTTTTCTCTGTGTGCTGTTTGAGCCTCTTGAATGTTTAGAAAGATTTTAAAAATTACATTTTACTAAAATCTGGGATTGAAACGTCATTTAATCATCCAGATATAGATTTATTTCAAGGTAAGATAACAAATTTTGGGGGCCAAAGAACACCCGCTGTGTATGTGGTTGACAGTCAGTGGTGTATGTCCTAGTCAAGACTAAACTCGGGCACCCCCCTCCCCCCAAATCTAAATTTGCCCCGCACGTTCCTGTTTAAGACATTTTGCGTAACCTGTAAGTTGCTGGATACAGCGCGCATGCTGTACCTAGCTTCTGACAGGTTGCGCTATTAACGTAGTGGGGAAGCCTACTGTGCCTCTTGCTTATCCTGTCAGAAGCTTGATACAGGGAGCGCCTGTTTAAATAGTATCAGGCACACGCTGTATCACTTCTGCCAGCATCGCAGGTGGGCTGTGCGGGGCCTCAGGTGGGCTGTGCAGGGTCTATAGTGGTGTGTGTGGGGTCTATGATGTGATGTGCAGGGTCTCTTTCCCTGCAAACGTGATGCTCCTCTTACCAGCAGCCCGAAGTGCCATCAGTAAAAGCAGGACACATTGCCGCCCCCCAGCCAGCATCTGGGGCATCCCGCCGTCAGATCGCATGCTATGCCCAGCCCCGAGCCGCCCGCTGCTTCTCCTCCACCTCCTGCACAAAGCCGCCTGGATCACATCTCCACCAGGCAGCTATCAAAGTAGGCTCTCTAATTTGCATGATAAGGCAGACGCCACCCCATTCTGTGCACCCCAGTCCGGCTCCGTCAGTCTCACTTTTTTGGGGGAGGCGTTTTTTGCTGCCCTACCCGGAAACAATTGCCTAGTTTGCCTCTCGTGAAAATAAGCTTGTCTTAATCCTCCTGGGAAGCTGTGTCGACTGGTAACTGATCAGTTAACACAAGTAAACTTTGACAAAGGCAGACAGCCTGCAATTCCATAGCATGCAGGCTGATGGTCACATGCTGGCAAGTCCCAGGCGCTAATTCTGAGACCAGTGGAAGTGCCCATTTGTTGGGTGCCTATTCCTCCCAGAGACAAACATATGTCAGTCTTGGGAACAGGAGCACCGCACTCCCCAAAGGACTGCTAGGAGAATTTCCTGCAAACATATGACAGGCAGGGGTGGCAGGGCAGGCCACCCCTGCCCTCGTTGTGCAATGAAAAGCAATTACATTAAATGGTAAGCAGTCTGCAGCCTCGGGACCCCAAGCATCAGAAGCAGGGCACGTGAAATGGGTGCCCGATGCTAGTGACGCCACGGCCTCTGATCGTTGGCAAATTATTATTATACAGGGTTTATATAGCACCAACAGTGTGCGCAGCGCTTTACAATATAAGGAAGACATTACAATCACAATACAATTCAAGACAAGATGGTAAGGAGGGCCCCGCCTGTGAGGGCTTACAATCTACAGGAATGAGTAATGATCCCAGTCAGCTTGGTGCCCCAGCAGTCGCAAGGACTGAGAGATTCTTTTAAAAGCTTGCCCCTAGTGAAGCAATCGTTGATCACCTTTATCTATAGCTCAAACAGTGAAGTGCTATTTCTTCAGACCAAGATGCCTATTTAGATTCTGGTACCACATTTGTCCATTACACTGAACTGATCTATGAACAAATCCTACTTTTCTGTATTTAATATTACAACCATCAAGAACACCAATTGCTAAAACAGGCCTGTTATAGTGATCTTCAGTATTAGCGATTAAGTGTCATCCTTGACTCGGACCTCACCTTTCTTCCCCACATCCAATCACTATCCAAATCCTGCCGCCTTCACCTTCGTAACATCTCCAAAATACGCCCCTTCCTGATCAATGAAACCGCAAAATGACTCATCCACTTGCTTGTTATATCTCGTCTTGACTATTGCAACTCCCTCCTCACTGGCATTCCACTACACAGGCTATCCCCCCTTCAGTCTATCATGGATGCAGCTGCTAGACTCATCCACCTAACCAACTGCTCAGTGTCTGCATCCCCCTTCTGCCAATCCCTGCACTGGCTTCCAATAGCCCAAAGGATAAAATTCAAAATATTAACAATCAGTTACAAAGCCATCCACAACTCTGCCCCTGGATATATCTCAAACCTTGTCTCAAAGTATCACCCTAACCGTCGGCTCCACTCTTCCCAAGACCTCCTGCTTTCCAGCTCCCTTGTCAACTCCTTCCATGCTCGCCTCCAGGACTTCTCTAGAGTCTCTCCCATCCTCTGGAATTCTTTACCCCAACCTGTCCGTCTGTCGCCCACCTTGACTGCCTTTAGGCGTTCCCTAAAGACTCATCTCTTCAGGGAAGCCTATCCCACCTCAACCTAACCACTCAACCATCACGTTCTAAAACAATTCATCCCCACGCAGCTCCCTCCTCATGTATCACTTCCCTCCCTTTTAGATTGTAAGCCCTCAGGGGCAGGGCCCTCTTTACCATCTTGTCTTGAATTGTATTGTGACTGTAATGTCTTCCTTATATTGTAAAGCGCTGCGCAAACTGTTGGCGCTATATAAACCCTGTATAATAATAATAATTAGCGGGAGGTGATCGAGCAGGTAATCATTTCTTCTCCTTCTGCAAATGTAGGGGATATAGAAAGTTATGACCACTGATCTGTGCAGCCAGCAGAGATCAAGCCTAGAGGTCATAGAGAATCTAAGGTCCTACCAAAATGCCTTCAAAGCAGCTGGGACACCTAGTGAGAAAGACATATGAAATAGCTTTTCACGTTTCATATTGTTGAATCGGATTTATTTCATCTTTTCCTTTCATTCTGATATAGATAAAGGATAATGAAGATCACCTTCCACCTTGACACATATTGTACATTGAGCACACGATGTCTATGCAGCGACTTGTTCCTAGATAAGAACATTGCAAGTCATGTGTGTACAGGAATGATTGATGATAATGACAGGAATGATCGGTATGTGTGCACTTCCTGTTTTCTGAACTGCAAGCAATGTAAAGCTAAAGTCCAGGAATACAGCTAAATACAGAGCCGAAATACCTTTCCATGAATGGTTACCTGTGATTGGATTGACCTTCCAAGAGCTCTTTTCATACTAGCTGCTGGCAGCATAGTTTCTATTAATGTAGGCAGACCCACAGAACTACATCCTACAAGAACTCTTTTCATACACACAGTATCTGGGTAGGTTACTGGAAGTCAAGACAGCAGTTTTGCTGGGAGAAAAAAAATCAACATAGGCATGTGGCTAGGGACTGGGGAGGACAGATAGATTGGGGAATAGGCAGAGTTCTGTAGTCCAGCAGGGAGGGCTTACAATTTCAGAGTAGCAAAAGCACTGTGTTGTCAGCCCAAACAGGAAATTAGACGCTCACTGGATTTCTGGCAGGTTATTTTTCCTGTACTTGCAGCGTTTTTAAAGGGATACAACATGCAGAAATGTGCATGTATTGCAGAGGTGTACCGAACATGTCTTTGTTATATTGGCCTGCTTCACATTTTAACCAATAGAGTTTGGTCCCTAACATGCCCCCAGCCTTTGACTGGGAAATTAAGAAAGCAGTACACTGCAGTCATCACTTACCTAGCTCTACTTATCCATGTTGTGTAAGCAGTGTTTCGAGTTGGAAGTTGAGAAATCTGGCAGGAAGATTTTACTTGAGAGATTCAAGAAATCAGCGGGTGACAGACCCCCAGAATGCACCGATCAGTAAAGTTCCCCCTTTAGATGTACTGGTCTTATAACACTATACAAATACCTTTCAATAATGTGTATCAGCTCCTCAAGGGCTACCATTGCTTTGCTACTTAGTAGTCAATGATCCAAAATTAATTAGCAAAATTGCTGCGCTGCATATTTTTTAAAATATTTTTTATAAAGTCAGCGACTAACAAAGTAGGGAGGCGAGGATAGGGATGACAGCCCAAGAGCCTGCACCTTTAAAAGACAACTGTACCCACTCCCAAAGAACAACCTTAATTCAAATTCTTGCCTTATTCACCGTTCTAGAAATATTTTCGGGTGTCACCCTGCCTGACGCTTTGCAGCCTCTCCATCTGGTGCTCTGCTTACTGCATGTGTGCTGCAGCCCTATGGGAGTCATACTACTTTGGATGGTTAAAGGCCGCCTTGAGTACATCTCACCCATATGAATAGATAGGGCCATTGCACGCTTTGTAGAACCAGGCACGGATGCACACAGTGAATATCGCTGACACAGGGAGGAAGGAAAGTATTTTAATCAAGCAGGCTGCACTCCAGGAGGGGGGTGGGGGTGGAATTATATAGCAACTGTATTCAAGTAGTTATCCTTAAAACAACAAATTGACGTTTCCATAAGAGAACTATGGGGTAAGTGTTTTTCCCCATAGTTCTCTTAAGGGTCACGGGAGGACATATACTAACCTTCTCCCGTGACCCAAAGCTCAGTATATTGCAAGCTACAGTTAGCGGTATACTGATCGCGCCGCAGCCGGGACGGATCCTGACAATGCTGTCGAGATCCACCCAGCTGCATGAATGACAGCTGGCTCTGCCTATCTAGAGTCAGAGCCAGCTGTACCCACCCCCTCCCCTGTCCGTTCCTCCAGTTAGCGCTGGAGGATTGGAGACACAGAAGGCACTTTGTGTGGGTATGAGAAGTGTAGCCAGTACTGTACCAGATAACATGTAAATAGCTACCGTATATACTCGAGTATAAGCCGAGATTTTCAGCCCATTTTTTTGGGTGAAAAGTGCCCCAGCATTTAACACTACTACAAAATCAATTCTCACATTCAGTTTTATTCAATTTCCTTTTATTTAATGTATGGGGGGAAAAAAAAAGCCTGCGGCTGCCTGGCAGGCAATCAAATAACAGTTAAAAAAAAAAAACTGGACTCACACTTTAAACCATTTTGTCTCGTCAAGAAATTCCCCGGTGTTCCTCTGCATTGCAGTACAGTCAACACTGGCACAATACAAAGTGGAACTGGCAATGAACAGTGGGTTTCACAAATTTGGAGGGGGTTCAAGTGGTACAGAAGGAAGTGTTATCATAGTGATATCTCCTCTCTATCTTACAGTGTTGTTTTAAAATAGCAGCTGATTCATCCGAATAAAATCCAACCAAGGCAAAAGGCTGTAGTGCCCACTAGTGCGCAGGAATGTAAATACAGTCTGAGCTGCAAATGTTTAAAAAAAGTGTTGGTACCCTGCCACAAATAAAACAAGTCAAGGCCGGACTTACCTTTAGGAATAAAGCTGATGTTTTTTTAAAAAAAAGAAAAACACAAACAGTTGCTGTTTTAAGCCATCCAGTTTTTGAAAATAAAATGCAGAAGCCTCATTGAGCCTTCTCTGTACATTAAAACAAGCATGAATAATGTACAATGAAAGACTTTGTCCTTCCTGAAGGAAAGAGTTTTTACTCCTCACAGGCACCGATGTCCCCTAATTTCCGAGGTGCTGTTAATATGCTTGTCCTTAAAGCAGTAGGTTTGAGGCAAAGGAAACCATTGGTTGATAAGTCTGTCTCTTTCAGACATCTTTCTGAATTGTGCACAGCTTCACCGAATCCTCTTCTGCTGTCGAGCTCTGTAGATGTCATGAACGGGAGGCACTACGGCGCCCTTTTCTTCATCATCATCTGAGTCCTCGTTGGGCCTTTTGAGCGATTTGTTGATCAGGGTGTTCACTTCAATGGGTCCGTTGGTCTCCTGCATTAGTTCCGCCTGGCCCCCAGTAATGACTCTGACCGCCTCTTCAACAGCTAGAAAGGCAAAGTTCACTTTAATCATTTGAGAATTACAGATTGCCACAGAATGGAAATAAAGCGGCTGCCATTGCAGACTTCCCCCTGAAGATTCTAGGCACTTGGCTGTCTCTGGCTTCAGTACTTCTAAGACACTGACCTGAAACAAATATGCAGATCTGGAAAATCAGACTAATGTTAGAAATAATCTACATACTTGTCCCTGGTGAGTGGCTCAAAAAGTGCATATCTGGATCAGCAGTACAACCAGGAAGAGGTCAGCAATTGCAGCCTCGATACTTCCTCCCTATAAGACCGATAGGTAATGAATTATATCTGCTGACTCAAATAACCTGTCAGGGGAAGGAAAAAGTAAACAGAAAATACATAATATATACCAGGGGTCAGAAAACTAAGACACGCATGCCACAGTGGACATGCAAAGTTTGGCACCCGGAAGATCAAGTCACATAGTCTACAAAATTATTTGATATTTCTCATTAAAACCTAGCATAGTAAATTCTGTTGAATATGATGTAGCCTGTAGTGTAGCGAGTTACCCAAATTCTTATGCCTGAAAAACGTGACCTTTGCATTATTCTTTACAATTGGATTCACATATACTGTATGTGCAAACACAATTTTTCACACCTTAAGATCGTGTTAAATCGATCGGATGGCCGACTTAAAACAGATCATTCAGAAGCGTATGTGCAACTTTAATGAACTTCCTAAATGCCACACACAACTAAGTCAAGAAAGACAGGGATCACACCAAAACTAAGTCCAGTATACTATTCAGTACACATTAACAGCTAATGTGCGTGCACCTGATAATATAATAATTAATGAGTTTAGTTTGCCATTAGCAGTACAACTATGAGTACAAAAACTGAAAACGAAAGAGGAACTTTACCCGCATCTTCAAAATAACAACAAAGGAACCTTAGGAAATGTTCAGTAATGACAATCTACAAACACATACTTCTAGATAATTGCCGGCTTTGTATTCTTTGCATTCCTTATTTTTCTTTTCATCCCTTGTCTGCTCACAGTGGCCATTTTTACTAAGGGCAGATTAATCCATCTCCCTTTACTTCCTGTGACTAGGACATGTGACCATGCACATCATCTCAGGGGAGGAAAATGCCTTTCCCTGACACTACTGTCACTTGAGGGTCAATTGTCTAATGCCTAAATATTGAAACTAAGGGGTCTCCATTTACAAAGCAAAACATTTGACTGTCGCAAAGATTCTCTGCTGAAAACCCAGCCATTTGTATGTGTTTTAAATAGAAACAATTCTCCACTCGTGAATGTTCGTGGAAATCACATTATTTATGTATTAAAATATACTTGCTTTAAATCTCATCTGTAATAAGTAAAGCAACTCCAGCTTAAAGCTGTGTAATTAGGGGGCGTGGCCTGGACATGGCGCCGAGCAGCAGCTAATTGCCAGAGCTCTGCAGACCCGGGAGATATTTTTTCAGTGGATCTTCCTCCCTCCCACCCCACTAACCCATGAAGCGGACCAGGAAGGCACCGAAGACACCCCGTGCCCCCACGAGCCAAAAAAAGCAGTCCAGGATGGAAGCTTATGTGTCCCCCCAGGACTCGAGGCCTAAGCCGTGTGCACAGCCCGGGACACACGCACACTCCACCCCGACGGGACATACCCGAACCTCTCCTCATGACGCCTCCGGCATCTCAGACGAGGCAACGCTTCCACTCCAGCCGCCATCCCCGACCTTCTCCTCACCTGGCACTGGATCGGATGTCCACTCACCACGGACGTGGGCGCCCGTCTCCCCGCTAGGCCGCCCGGGCCTAGGAGTAGACCCAGAGCTCCGGTCTCTCCTAGCAGCTCTCCCGACGCGGGCCGACATGCAGGGGATGATCGATCAGCTGGCGTCATCACTCGGATCAGACCTGGCGGAGGTACGTGCGGGGGTGGAGCGGAATGAGAGGAGACTGGAGGTGCTGGAGGATGCAGATAAGACCCTGGAGAACAGGGTGGCATGCCTGGAGGCCTCCGTTCTACCCCAACAGACCCATATGGCCCAGATGCAGCTGGAGGACTCAGAAAACCGTAACCGCCGCAACAACTTGCGGTTGCGGGGAATCCCAGAGGCCACAGGGGGGCCTGAGTTTAGAGGGGCGGTCACGGCCATATTCATTTCCTTACTAGACAGACCCCCGACGGAGCAGATTGAGCTAGACCGAGTACTCAGGTCCTTGGGTCCTATGGGGGCTGATACCAACAGACCCAGAGACGTCTTGTGCAGAGTACACTTTTTTAACATCAAAGAGGAGATACTGCGGAGAGCATGGAGACAGGGGACGGTGGATTTTGATGGAGCGGAGGTCCTGATCCTTCCTGACGTATGCCCCCAGACCCTATACCGCAGATGTCTCTTGAAACCCCTCACTGATCTACTGCAAGTTAAAGGGATCACCTACAGGTGGGGTTTCCCCTTCTCACTTCTAATTGGTAGAGGGGACCACTTCTTCAGGCTGGTTCACCCTCGCCAGGTGCCGGAATTGAACGTCTTTCTGGAATGCGAAGACCTACTGCTGCCAGATTGGTTGGAGGTTCCTTCCTTGGATTCTACTTCATCCTCATCCGCCAGATCTGGGAGGCCCTTGAGACGTCGCAGAAGTCGTCAGCGATCTGCAACACGACCGTCACGGAGAGCCCACCCCATGGATCC